GGAGACTCCACAACCTCCCTGGGCAGCCTGAGCCAGGGCTCCGTCACCCTCAGAGGGAAGAAGTTCTTCCTCATGTTCAGACGGAACTTCCTGTGCCTCAGTTTGTGCCCATTTCATGACCTCAGGTATCAGCTCCCTAACTCAAAACATTCCAGTACTGACATGACTACTTGAGCAAAAGGCTCAAGGTATGATCATCCCCCCTAAGGTAACCTCAGGCAAGAGCATCTTCAGAGAAGACAGCTAAACGGGCATTTCAGGAGCGAATTCGTGAACATTCGCAGTACGGCCGAAGCGAGCTGCACCTGATGAACGCTGACTCTGCACAACAAGTATTGTCCCAGCACAGCCAAACGCAAGAGCATTTCAAAATGGGGTGACTACAAAACAAACTGCGAAGAAGCAGGTGTAGCAATCGAGTCGACGTCAGGCCTGTGGACAGTTTTCCCTAAAAAGCTCAAAAAATGCAATCTTGCTGGTAGCTGTGGGCATTCCTCCTCCGGCAGAAGTTAAAGAGTTTGAAAAGAGGGTGTTCGCTGGAAGGAACGGCTCAAAACTGGAAAGCTAATACATTTCTCTCCCTACAGTCGTTTCATAGGGACAAACAATTTGAGGGAGGGAGGGCAAGGAAACACAAGAATTTTCCACCAATATATTAACCTCTGGTCTTAAAGAGGACGCTGGTACACGTCCAGAAAGCCTGGAAGAAAACCAGTTGGACTGGGTTCATTCAGCCAGTCACTCTATGCTTCCAGAGCTTTGGAAGACATCCAAGACGGAATAAGGTAACACATCTATGAACTTGAGATCAACAAAATATCCCTCATTTCTACTAATTTATGTTGATTTTCAACATTTTTTAAACAACAGCTGGTATTCTAGCTATTACAATCAGCCAAGTGGCTGAAAATGAAACATCTGCTTTGACGGCCTCTCTCACTGGATGGGCTGCAGAGAAATGACATTTGAAATGAAACTTGTAACGTGGCTGTCACTGTACTTCTGCGCCGTCGAGCACTCCAGTGCCTCCTTCAGGGCTCTGTGCAAGGCCTGTGGTCCCGAGCTGAAAGGAAACAGAAGCCTTCTGCCAAGGGCGAACGTACTGTTGTCTGCTGTCAAACCCACTGCACTTTATCAATGGTATTTGAGGAGGAGGCTACCGAACTTCTTGGGTGTGAAAAGACCAGCCTCCTTCTCTCCAATTCCAATATTTAAACATCCTAAAGGAGCTTTGCAAAGTAACTTTTCCCTTTGGATCTTGACCACAGCAATGTTAGACTTTAATGCGGGTACGTTTGGGTAAGAGTTTCAAGTATCTTCCATGGTAATTATTAACTATACATCTTAGGTAAAAAATTACTTGTTAAAGAATTTACTAATTCCTACAGCTTAAAAGATTTCACTTAAGCCGTGCTATCTACCCTACATATCATTTAACAGATGTGTAAAACAAAACTTCCTACACAGAGTAAATTTAATCAGTAACAGACAAGCTGGTTTTGAACTGGTTGTCCGATCCCAGGCGTAAGCAAGCTCCTTCTCGTGAGGTACCGTATAAAAGCAGTGAAACAGTTAAGATAAAAAACACAAGCTTCTTATTGTCATTTATTTTTAAAAACCTTATTCAAAATATTAAGTGATACAAGTCCAAATACGATAAAAATTACTGCAAGAAAAGTGTTTTGGGATGTTTTGTTTGTGCTTTACTGCTTGTGGTTAGGAAAAGAACGCATTTGACAGTAGGATTTAGAACTTTTAGCACTTCATTCGTAAGATAGTATCATGCCTTCAGACTCCTCATGCCAGCAGCTGTAAAGTTGATTTTTTCAAAATGTTACATAACTACCTGAATATCAAGTCATTAATTATGGGGTTCTGATCCACCATTATTTACATATTTATCAGTTTGAAAACTAAATCACAAACAGAATGTACAGAAAACTAAGATTTTTATATTTTACAACTCATGAAAACATAAATAGTGAAAGTACAAAAGACAAGGTAAAAAAAAAACCCTACTGTACCAGTATCTTGATTTACACTAAGGCGTAAATGTTTGCCAAAAATTCAGAGTGCGCTGTCCACAGACTGGCAGCCCCCCACATCATTACTTTCACCTGCCTGTTACCTGGGTCAGAATAACAACAAAATAAATTATTCTTACATTCTCAGGCCTCTCCCATTTATAACAGAGCAAACCACGTAACTTTCCCAACTGTCTTAAAATTCAAGAGAAAGCTTTGATGTATTGAAAGCCTGTCCACTATCTATATTTTAGTAAGATCATTCAACAAGGCTTATTTTCCACTCATTAATTACAAAGATAATGAAAACGTCATAAATATCATTAGAGAAAAAACCTGGACAGTCAAGAAGCTGCATACCTTCACCAAGATGTTGGACGTTTTAAAGAAATATATGGTGTATAACTTCTGAAATAAAACGGGTTATACATAATGACTTTTGTATTATTTACCGCATGAACACATGCAGAAATTATGAAACTGCCACGCTAGCTTTTCTGCCCAAAATAGGATCAAATTATGCAATAAGAAAACAGAACCAAAAGGAACAAGAAGAAAGATTTGCAGCATCTGGATTTAAGCATAGAAGAAAGCAACTATATTTTAAGTTTGCAATATAGTGGGATTTATGAGCCATGTAAGTGAATAGCAAAGAGATCATTAATTTGATTTAGTGATGCCAAAGTCATTAATTTATTAGACCTAAACTATTTTATGCTTATTTTTCGTATTATCACTAGTAAGACTGCTCCAGACAAATCGGATGATGCTTAATGAATGGAAAGAGCACTAATTATTAAAATTCTGTATCTTTATGGCCGATACAAAACCTGATCAAAGTAGCAAACAGATGTATCATGCCCTTGATCTTCCATGAGATTTAATCTCAAAAACATCCAGGTCAAAGAGAATACATCTCATTTCCGTACAAGCAGCACATTTAGAACACCTGAATACCATTACATGACTAGGCAGGCAAAGAGTGACAAGTTCAGCAAACTGAAATCACAGTGCTTTCAAAATACGTAGTCATTAGTTATTTTCAGAGAAGGCATTGCTTCATTAACGTTTTGATCTAAACGATGATATTCTACTGTCCTCGAGCACAGGCCATCCCTCCATCTTCGGCTCTGGACCAGTAAGAAGATCTGAAAGAAAAAGCAGCCAACTTAAATAATGGTATGGAGAAACATTCTGGGTTTGGTGGCTTAACCGTTCTACCGGTATCACAGTTCTACCCCTCGGTCCCAGCAATGGCATCACTGTTGCTAAAAACACAGCACGAGCAGTCAGTAATTTCCCTACTGCCCCTGCCATCAGCTCACTCACTGGCAACCTCAGCTGCAGTTTGGCCAAAACACAGCCTTCAACCCCTAACTCTTTTAGTAAAGATCTGTGTGTAGCTTCAGAAGTCCTGCACGGACAGGCCCAGATGGTGACATTTGTTAGTTTATTCATCTCACCTTCTCTGGCATTTCACCCTTGTTAAAAATAATTGTATTAGTGGTGCTGAAGCAAAGACAACAGAAGCAGCAATGGCGTAATTTGATGAACTGTTTCTGCACTACAGCTCCGTGCCCCCTTCAGCAGTATCAGCAGAGCGGTAACAGAGGCTATACAATAAATCAAAGCACTCAAGTGATTAGATTTTTAAAATGTCTATTATCTTCACCCTATTTAGCCTTGTTTCTTAACGACACCATCTAATGCTAGACAGGGCAACTGTACTGGCAAAAGGGGAAATGGGATGGTGTAAGTGGGCACAGGGAAAAGAAAAAGGAGAATCTAAACCCATGTGACTGTTGTCTCACACAAATATGTGCCATGATCTATGTACTTAAAGTAGTAGTGTATTTTCTGTTCCCAAAATTATTTCTAAGTGCTAAAAAGTAGTACCAACAGATAGCTTTTCAATTACCCAAATGATACTACAAGCATTATCTCACTTATGAAGCAAGGACAAGGCATTTTTTTTCCATTTCTTTGAATTTCGAAGTTAAATTTTCAAATGCAACACAGTCAGTCTTCAACATTTTCCCCTATAAAGACTTGGCAATGCACATTCCAGACATGCTGTTGCACTGTAAAGCAGAAGTTCTGGGGGTTTTTTAGCTGTGTTCTTTTCAGAGTCCCCAAAATCCTCGACCAAATCAGCATTCTCTACACGGATGAAATTTTCCTCATATCTAAAAATTAACCTGTGATTTAATTGTAAATTTGTGCATGCATCTGTGCGGGGTCTGGCTGGGCTGGAGCTCCTTTTCTATGCTAGCAATGTATTTTGAAATAACACTGATCAGGCTACTTTTGAGATACAGAGAATTAGTTTGTACCGAAGAAACAGTCACCGCAAAATACTAATTTTGGGCTTCTCTGCGAAAAACTGGAAAGAGT